TAATGACAGAAGGAATCGCAGTGAAGACAGTCAGTTCTGCAAAACACTTTTATACTGACAGCTAGAGTCGCAGGGAGACAGTCAAATCTGCAAAACACTTTAATACTGACAGAAGGAGTCGTAGAGAAGATAGTCAGTTCTGCAAAACGCTTTTATACTGACAGAAAGAGTTAAGTTGCAGCTAAGACAGTCAGTTCTGCAAAACACTTTTATACTGACAGCAAGAGTCGCAGGGAGACAGTTGGTTCTGCAAAACACTTTTATACTGAAAGAAGAAATCGCAGCAAAGACAGTCAGTTCTGCAAAACACTTTTATAATGACAGAAGGAATATCAGCAAAGACAGTCAGTTCTGCAAAACACTTTTATACTGACAGCAGGAGTCGCAGGGGAGATAATCGGTTCTGCAAAACACTTTCATACTGACAGCAGGAATCACAGGGGAGACAGTCAAGTTTGCAAAACACTTTAATACTGACAGATGGAGTTGTAGAGAAGATAGTCAGTTCTGCAAAACACTTTTATACTGACAGAATGAGTTGCAGCAAAGACAGTCAGTTCTGCAAAACACTTTTATACGGACAGCAAGAGTCGCAGGGAGACAGTAGGTTCTGCAAAAAACTTTATACTAACAGAAGAAATTGCAGCAAAGACAGTCAGTTCGGCAAAACACTTTTATAAAGACAGAAGGAATCGCAGCGAAGACAGTCAGTTCTGCAAAACACTTTTATACTGACCGCAGGAATCACAGGGAGACAGTCAGTTCTACAAAACACTTTTATACTGACAGAAGGAATCGCAGCGAAGACAGTCAGTTCTGCAAAACACTTTTATACTGACAGAAGGAATCACAGTGAAGACAGTCAGTTCTGCAAAACACTTTTTAACTGACAGAAGAAATAGCAGCAAAAACAGTCAGTTCTGCATGACACTTTTATAATGACAGAAGGAATCGCAGTGAAGACAGTCAGTTCTGCAAAACACTTTTATACTGACAGCTAGAGTCGCAGGGAGACAGTCAAATCTGCAAAACACTTTAATACTGACAGAAGGAGTCGTAGAGAAGATAGTCAGTTCTGCAAAACGCTTTTATACTGACAGAAAGAGTTAAGTTGCAGCTAAGACAGTCAGTTCTGCAAAACACTTTTATACTGACAGCAAGAGTCGCAGGGAGACAGTTGGTTCTGCAAAACACTTTTATACTGACAGAAGGAATCGCAGCAAAGACAGTCAGTTCTGCAAAACACTTTTATACTTTCAGTAGGAGTCGCAGGGAGACAGCTGGTTCTGAAAAACACTTTTATACTGACAGAAGGAATTGCAGCAAAGACAGTTGGTTCTGCAAAACACTTTTATACTGACAGCATGAATTGCAAGGGAGACAATGGGTTCTGCAAAACACTTTTATACTGACAGCATGAATAGCAGGGGAGACAATGGGTTCTGCAAAACCCTTTTATACTGACAGCAGTAATCGCAGTGGAGACAATCAGTTCTGCAAAACCCTTTTATACTGACAGTAGAAATAGCAGGGGAGACAATCTTTTCTACTTTTTTACTGACCGCAGGAATCGCAGGGGAGACTTTTAGTTCTGCAAAACACTTTTATAGGGGTAAATTTAGTAAATAAATATATGTCATCAGGGACAGCCCATTTAGGGGAGAGCTTTCTGTATAACACTGTAGTCCTGTGCTCTTCTGATTGGTAGATTATGTTTGTAATAAATATTTTTTGATAGATGGATCAAAACTAGAGTTAAAAAAAGTAAAAAAATGAATGCTGAATGCAATTTATTTGTATAGGAATTAAGTGCAAATCTACAGTGTTTGTAAGCAAGGCCATGTGAATGCCCCAAAATGCCGCATGACCCTATGTTTTTATTGTTGCAAAAGATGAGGCTACATTTGTACTTTAATGAATGATATATGAAAGCTCCTGATTTCTTAAGGTAAACCAGGTATATATTTAATTCAAGACATAGATTTACATTAAAGTCAATGGGAGATTTTTTACTGAATTTACCCCTATACTGACAGCAGGAATAGCAGGGGAGACAATTGGTTCTGAAAAATCCTTTTTTACTGACAGCAGGAATTTTGGGGGAGACAATCAGTTCTGCAAAACACTTTTATACTGATAGCAAGGGAGACAGTTGGTTCTGCAAAACTCTTTACAAATATTTTGATAGTTACATTTCTTGTACATTTTTTCAACTATATTCCTTAAATTACATTTCTGGGGAAATAAAGATTTATGCAAGTGGCATTATCTATCTGACAAGTGAAATTTCATATACACTTGTATAAAAGTTCAAGTTGATTAAAGTTACCGGTAATGTTAAATGTCCAACTCTGTCCATTTGTGTCAGTAACACAACCAAATCTTTTGAAGTTTTACTTAGTGTCAAGGACCAACAGTACAGATGAAATTTGGTTAAAGCAGTTTTGATATTATGATGAAAAAAATGTGAATTTATATGTCTTTTGATGATATTCAATAAATCCCCACTTGACCATGCAAATGTTTTGAAATCTTAATTAGGGTCCCGCCGAATGGCGGGTCGCCCTAAAGTGATAAGTTTGTCTGTCCGTCCGTCCGTAACAAATTGTGATTTCATACTTTATACTTGACATGTATATTAACAAACACCAGAGGGTGTGTCATAATGTTTGTACAACTTCCTAGGTCAAAGGTCAAGGTCAAAAACTTTGGTTTCAGTTGACAACCCCATGTCCTATGGTAAAGATCGTGTCTGCTCTATATCTAGAGAACCATGATGATTTCAAAGTTTATACTTGACATGTATATTAACCAACACCAGAGGGTGTGTAATAATGTATGTACAACTTCCTAGGTCAAAGGTCAAGGTAAAAAACTTTGGTTTTCAGTTGACAACCCAATGTCCTATGGTAAAGATTGTGTCCACTCTATATCTAGAGAACCATTATGATTTCAAAGTTTATACTTGATATGTATATTAACCAACACCAGAGGGTGTGTCATAATGCATGTACTACATCCTAGGTCAAAGGTCAAGGTCAAAATCTTTGGTCTCAGATGACAACCCCATACCCTATGGTAAAGATACAAATTTTTTACCACACGTTATTCACAGCGGGGCCCACATAGATGGCTCCCATCTCAATGATGTCTAGTTATGTCTAGAGGTATGATGGTTGATTGTGTGAAAGCTTCTGAATTTTTTACATAATTGCAATTGACCACTTTTAAAGATTGAATGTCTGAAAATTTTTCTTCAAAATGTAAATATTAAAGTGAATTTTTAGATTACAGAACCACATGTTTTGTTGAGGCTTGTAATTAAGCTTTACAGAGTTTGAGATTTTTTTTTCTTGATAAGATATCTGGTCTTCAAAGTATATTTAAGTTACCTTTTTAATCATAAAATACAACACCAGTATTTTTTTATCTTATGGGTTGAGTTTACTTTTTGTCAGTTTGATATTTTTCAACCTACAATTATGACTTTAAGTTCTAAATAATGATACATATATAAAGAGGAAAACAGTTAATACCAAAAGTTTTGGATGGCACAACAGACATCCACCAACACCGGCTCCTCCAAAAAAGTAGATAAACAAACAAGAATGAACAACACATGGCCAGTCCAGATAACTTTGTCTTATGTAGACGAAACATGTGTATGAAATTTTAAGCCTGGTATCATTGATTAGTTTTTACAACAACTGGGTCGATGCAACTGCTGGTGGTTGTTTTGTCCCAAAGAGTTTTTTTTTTCTGTAAATTTACTGTTTATAAAATGTTGAATTATTTGAAACTAGTTAGCCTCATTTGACACAATTTTTTTTTGGAATTTTCAGTTTTGAATGCTCTTCAACTTTTAATTGAATTTTGATACAATTTTGAAATGAACTGAAGAGTCTTATGTAGATGAAAAACTCGTCTGGTGTATAATATTATAAGCCTGGTGTCTTTGATGAGTTTTTTTGTTTGTACAAGCACAAAAGGAGAAGGTCCGGTAAGGGCTAGTTTTGGCCTAAAATTTGAAGTACATCTAATGAAAGATTTTTTTACATTTTTTAAACACTTAAGGTGGTACCTAACACTACAGGGAGATAACTCTTTAAAAATCAACTAAACGTTTTAATCACGTTGTATTGTTAAGGAAATATTAAGCTTCTCAATGATCAAAATTAGTGTTTGTCAAACTGCTATATAACCAGTGAAATTTTTCTGATAAAGTGGTTGGTTCAAATTATTTGAATTTTTTATATTTTTGTCAAAGGGTCAAAGTAAACATTTTGTCAAAATTTTAGGAAAATTAAACGAGCCAAATTAATATTAGTCAAGGTGTTGGGTACCACCTTAAGTGTCTACTTCAGTCGATTCAATTAGTTTGTGTAAAATATTTGAACTGATTTGGTCATGAAAGACCCTCAAATTCAAGCTTAAATATTAAAAATCTACCAAATATGCCATAAAACGTCACTTTTCAGATGGTTTTTGTCTAAAATGTAAGTGGCTGCATTCGTGTTCAGTCTCAACCTTTATATATGTTATGTATTATCATCAAATACAACATATATTTAAATATAAAGACTGAACACAAATGTGGCCACTTCCATTTTAGACAAAAACCGTAGTACCTGATGCATGTGCATTGTACTGTCAAAAACAGCCCATATTTATGGAACAGAACTATTCTACATCCCAATAAATAGCTAAAAGTTTACATTTCAACAAATTTGTAAAAATGCTTTATTTTGGGGCCAAAATGGGGTCTTACCGGGCCTACTCCTTTCTTGAGGATAAACCATTTGTATATGGATTTTTTACCTTTGGAGGTTGCTTTAATTTGGGGGATATCTGTGATAATGAGATCACCTAATTAATGCTAGTTGAAATAAATAGGACTTTTTAAGACATTTTCCAACAATTTTGAGGCATAAAATGTCAATGGATGACTATTCATTAGACAGAATTTTGTGTAATGCTTGGGAACTGTTTTTTTTTTTCAGGAAAAGAAATTTATAGATGGTAGTCAGAAATTATCAGACAAAATTGCAGAAAGTCTAGCAGATCGAGTGAGGTTATCTAGTCCTGTTACAAGTATTACACAGACTGACTCTATGGTAACAGTTGCAAGCCAGAATGGAAAGACATACAAAGTAAGATTTTCTGTGTTAATGAATACATTCCCCATTTCCATTCTCAACTTTATGAAATGTGCTTGATGTCTTGAGCATTTCTAAGGGTCAGTATTATTCATACATGTGCCTATATCTTGGCAATGGATGGGTTTGATTTACACACAACTGCTAAGCTCTCTTTTTATGACAATGTTTATAAAAATAAGACAATGTGGTATGATTGCCAATGAGACAACTTTCCACCAGAGACTTAACAACATAGAAGTTAGAAAATATAGATCATCATACGGCTTTCAGCAATGACCAAAACCCATAACGCATAGCAAGCTATAAAAATGTAAAACAGTTCAACATGTTCAAACTAGAAAATTAATGGCCTGATTATTGTACAAAACTATAAACAAATAACAAATACAAGTACATAGTCCATATATAACATCAAATACAAGTACATAGTCCACATATAACATCAAATACAAGTACATAGTCCATATATAACATCAAATACAAGTACATAGTCCATATATAACATCAAATACAAGTACATAGTCCATATATAACATCAAATACAAGTACATAGTCCATATATAACATCAAATACAAGTACATAGTCCATATATAACATCAAATACAAGTACATAGTCCATATATAACATCAAATACAAGTACATAGTCCATATATAACATCAAATACAAGTACATAGTCCATATATAACATCAAATAAAAGTACATAGTCCATATATAACTTCATTAGAAGTTTAACTACCTTTAATCAGTTAGTATTATTTTCCTTCTAACACAGGCAACTTTCCAACTTTTTTTTTTGTTAACAAGCATACCTGATAAGGTTTATTTCAGAACATTTGTGCTGGGAAAGTGATTTCTTACATCTTTGTTATACTGTCATTTTTTGCTTTGATTTTATGATGTGAAAGTTTATTGTTTTTGAAAAGAATTGAATAGTGGTATATGGGCATATTATAATAACATACTTGATAGTTGTATATTTACTTACATGTGTTTGACAACAGTAAACTATACAATCCCAAATGATATCTAGTACAGACCTTAACAAAAATTACTCAGCTGTTTTAATGATTTCAAAATACGTGAACAGACATCCATTGGATAAATAAAAATTCACTTTTCTAATATATTAGTAATGTTCTTGCTTTATTGATATCTTTGTGGAGGAGTCATATTATGTGAAACTAGCCATTATTAATATCTTTGTATAGGCAGATTATGTGATACTAGCCATTGCTTTATATCTTGGTATGGGCAGATTGTGTGATACCAGCTAAATAATTTTTGCTTTATTGATATCTTTGTATAGGCAGATTATATGATACTAGCCATTGCTTTATTAATATCTTTGTATAGGCAGATTATGTGATACTAGTCATTGCTTTATTGATATCTTTCTATAGGCAGATTATGTGATACTAGCCATTCCTCCACCACTGTTGTCTAGAATATCATTTGATCCTACACTTCCTGGTGACAAAATACAACTGATACAGAAAATGCCAATGGGATCTATTATCAAAACAGTCGTGTATTATCAGGAAGCTTTCTGGAGAAAAATGGGTAAGAAAGACAAGAAATTATACCCCCAGCTTTTGAAAGAGTGTAAATATAAAGATGGGGGTGTACCTCCATTTTTATTTTGCCCCTGCCGCTGGGGGGCTGGGGGCATTAAGTGTTACACTTGTCCATCTGTATGTCCGTTTGTACATCTGTAAGTATGTCTCGAAATTGGTTTCTGTACTCTAACTTTAAGTTTGCCTCAACCAAATGTTATGAAACTTATACACAGTGATTATTACCACAAAACTCAGATCAAGAACAAATTTGGGTGGTGTCGCTTTTACCGTTCTTGAGTTATGTCCCTTTATAACATTATATGCAAGCGTAGGCATCATCTGTCTCCATGGACACATTCTCCATTTATTTTTTGTTTCTCCTTCTGTTCCACGTTCATATCAGCTACTGCCCTGAACTGCTTGAGAGAACTTTGTGAAACATTTCTTGCATGATGTTCAATTACACCATTTATTTCAATTTTTTAATCAAATGATTTTTGGGTTTTTTTTGCATGAATTTGACTCATACTTGCATACTGCCATGCACATTTGTACCCATTCACTAGTCTTCGTAAATTCCTCACCAGACTTGAATGAAACTTTCTCAGACTTTTCACTATAAGATGACATTGTGTACCTCCTATTTTTTTTTTTTTACTTTTTTTATATTGACAAGATACACTATTTTTTTCCTGACAATTGAAATTATCAATTCATTTACTTTATTTGGCATCCACCAGGCATTATGTTCAAGATTGCTCTGGTGTCCCGGCCTGTTAAGTGGACTGGTCATGGCCATGGGTCTATATTGTTATGATATACTTGAAGTTAAGTCAAAGTAATGAGGTGTGATACAGATTCCTTACTTTTGCAGATTTGATACAGTCAAACCTGCTATAAAGGCCACCTCTATGAAGCAAAAACCTGTCTTGTCAGGTCACACTCCTCTCGTCTTTCTGAAGTAATATCTGTAGGTCACCTCTATTAAGCGAAAACCTGTCTTGTCAGGTCACACTCATCTCGTCTTTCTGAAGTAATATCTGTAGGTCACCTCTATTAAGCGAAAACCTGTCTTGTCAGGTCACACTCCTCTTGTCTTTCTGAAGTAATATCTGTAATTCAAAGGTCACCTCTTATAAGGTCAATTTTCTCTGGTCCCAAGGGCTTTATATACACATTTGTGTGTTGTCATTGATTGTTTTCATTGTAGAAGCACTTGAGTTGTAGCTTATCATTGACAAATGTTATAGAATATTGTTATAAGTATGGTGACATTTCACTTTTTTACACCGTCTAGGAAGTTTTGTGTTAATAGCATTCTCAACTCAAGTATGGAATTAAAAAGGGTAGGAACCATAGACCTCAAAATTAACATTTGCTGTGTACCCACTAAGCACACAGCATTTATGAGTAAGAGAAAAAACTGACTGGTACTGACTGGTTCAGAGTCAGAATAATATGACCATGTAGGATGACATGTCTTCCTACTGACTATTACAATTAGAGCTAGCATATTGGATCATATTGAAATCAGGATCGGTTTGTCAGTGTAATACATTGAAGCAGAGTATATTAATATTTCTTTGTTATCATCCTCATTATGCATGCAACATTTTCTTTAGACAATGAAAATCAATTTTGTCATCCCATTTTTTTAAAGTGTGGATTTCAATAAATAATTTTAAATTTTAATGAGTCCTAAAATATTCTGTCAAATTGATACGAATCATGCTGCTATATTAAACATTCATAAGAAGTTTCTTTATACTTATCATATTACATGTTTTATTATAAATTCCCAAGCTGGATATTTAATCACAAACAACTCCTGAGTGATGTGTTTTAGTTGAGAAACTAAAGACTTACGGTATATGCCTCCAGTATTCGTATAGTAATGTCATAAACCTTTTTGTGGTACAATCATCAGATGGCAAATGGTATTGAATTACCGGTACTTTTTTACTGTTAGATTCTAGTTTGTGATCCAATTCATGTTTCTTTGTCAAGTTGCAAACAGTAAAATATTATGTTTCTGTATACACTTGGGGGTTTGTATGAGGCTCTGGTTGGAGTTTACAGCATAAAGAATAATGGAAAAAAAATAGAGAATAGGGAATATGGACAAAAAAATTGGAATCGAAAAATAATGGGGTGCTGAAATAAAAAAAAAAACAGTTATTGGCAAAAAAAATAATATAGAAATATCCTAATGTTAATCACGTACACCATACTGGTGTAAAGAGAATTAGAAAAAAGACCTATTATAACAATGGTTCTAAAATGAAATACTATACCCAAAATAGTTTTATTAGTCTCCTACTGACAAAGTCGAAGGGGACTTTAGGTTTGCACTCCGTCCGTCTGTCCATCCGTCAGTCCGGCAAATCAGCTTTCCACACTTTTTTTCTTCGTTTTTAAAGATATTGATTTGATATTTGGTATATAGTTTTTTCATGACAAGTTATAGATCAAGTTCGAATTTTGTTCCGGTCTGATGATTTAGTCCAGAGTTATGGACCATAACTCTGGACCATATCTTATGTTAGAGTACTATGTTAAACCATAATTCTGTATAAAGGGAGATAACTCATTTTTTAAAAGACATTCTTTGTTAAATTATTTGAAAAATTTTTTGGCAGGTTTGTGTGTTATTTAGTATAAACTAATTTTCTGAATGCTATATATATAAAAAAAAATTATGAAGAGAAATCCTTTAATTAGATAATAATCTATTTTTATTAATGTATATATTTCAATACATTACATTGTCTAGATAAAAGTTGTTGACATTTTATAGATAAGCTACAAATCTATATTAGTTTGTGACAAATGACAGAAAAAGTATTTGGAACTATTAATTATATTTGATTATAATTTTTTGAAAATAGATATACACAGTATTACATCATATCTAATTTTAGAGAACTATTAATCATATCTAATGTTTTTTTCACTCATATAATCAGCTTTCCACACTGTTTTTAGTCATGCTTGTTTGCTTTATATTTTCATATTTCTAACAATAGGAATCATCTATATTTATTACTTTAACCAGATGTTTCAACACTTTGCACATCCTATAGGCACGCTTCATTTCTTATTTTGCTTGATTTTGCAGGCACTCATTTTTTATACGACCGCAAAAAAATTTTTCTGGTCGTATATTGGTATGACGTTGGCGTCGTCGTTTCGTCGTCTGGCGTCGTCCGGCGTCGTCCGAAGACACATTGGTTTTCGCACTCTAACTTTAGTTTAAGTGAATGGATCTCTATGAAATTTTACCACAAGGTTCAATACCACAAAAGGAAGGTTGGGATTGATTTTGGGGGTTATGGTACCAACAGTAAAGGAATTAGGGGCTAAAAGGGGCCAAAAATAAGCATTTTTGTAACTTCCAGACATAACTTGTGTGTTAGTGTATGGATCTCTCTGACATTGTACCACAAGGTCCCATATCACAAAATGAATGCTGGGATTGATTTTGGGGGTAATTGCCTCAAATTTTAGGAATTAGGGGCCAAAAAGGGGCAAAAAACAAGCATTTTTCTAGTTTCATGACAATAACTTGTGTGTAAGTGTATGGATCTTTCTGAAATTGTACTACAAGGTTCCATATCACAAAGGGAAAGCTGGAATTGAGTTTGGGGGTAATTGCCCTAATCATTTAGGAATTTGGGGCCAAAAAGGGACCAAAAAACACATTTTTCTAGTTTCCAGACAATAACTTGTGTTCAAGTGTATGGATCGCTCTGAAATTGTACTGCAAGGTACTATACAACAAAGGGAAGGCTGGGATTGAGTTTGGGGGTGATGAATCATAAGGGGGTTCAAAAAATTTGGGGGGGGGGGATTTTTTTTTTTTTTTCATTTTTTTTTCTTTTTTTCATTTTTTTTTTCTTTTAAAATTTTCCATTTTAAGTTGGTTATTTCTGATTTATGTTTAAAAACAAATAATAATGATATGGTAGGAGATACACACCAAACAGGATGTGTAAATTTTTATATAATAAGTATTGTGCAATAGCAAGAAATTTTCAATTGCACAGTATTGCACAATAGCAAGAAATCTTCAATTGCACAGTATTGCGCAATAGCAAGAAATCTTCAATTGCACAGTATTGCGCAATAGCAAGAAATATCCAATAGCACAATATTGCGCAATAGAAAGAAATTGTCAATTGTACAGTATTGCGCAATAGCAAGAAATATTCAATTGCACAGTATTGTGCAAAAGAAGATACTTCGTATAAATTGCTTATTTCTTGACCAATTTCAATGGGGTTTTATTCTTGAATTCTTGGGGTTCTTTAATATGCTGAATCTAACCGTGTATTAAGTTTTTGGATTTTGGGCCCCGTTTTGAAATTGGTCCACATTGAGGTCCAAAGGGTCCAAAATTAAACTTTGTTTTATTTCATCAAAAATTGAATTATTGGGGTTCTTTGATATGCCGAATCTAACTGTGTATTTAGATTCTTAATTTTTAGGTTCCGTTTTCAAATTGGTCTACATTAAGGTCCAAAGGGTCCAAAATTAAACTTAGTTTGATTTTAACAAAAATTGAATTCTTAGGGTTCTTTGATATGCTGAATCTAAACATGTATTTAGATTTTTGATTATGGGCCCAGTTTTCAAGTTGGTCCAAATCGGGGTCCAAAATTAAACTTTTGTTTGATTTCAACAAAAATTGAATATATGGGGTTCTTTGATATGCTGAATCTAACCATGTATTTAGATTTTTGATTTTTGGGCCCTGTTATCAACTTTGTCCACATTGAGGTCAAAAGGGTCCAAAATTAAACTTTGTTTGATTTCATAAAAAAATGAATTCTTGGGGTTCTTTGATATGCTGAATCTAACCATGTATTTAGATTTTGGATATTGGACCATAAAAGGTGAATGTCCAATTTAAAATTTTTAAGTTCTTAGACCACATTCATTCTGTGTCAGAAACCTATGCTGTGTCAAATATTTAATCACAATCCAAATGCAAAGCTGTACCAAGCTTGAATGTTGTATCCATACTTGCTCCAACTGTTCAGGGTTAGACCTCTGCGGTCGTATCAAGCTGCGCCCTGCGGAGCATTTTATTATAGTTGATGGGATGAGTTGTTTTGTACTTGAGGGGAAATTGATAATACACAAGAAAAAAAATTGCGGAAACAAAAACAATTCATATTTTATAAACGCGTTCATTATGTTCCTTTTGTCATTTTTTTTTTGTTCTGAAATTTTTTAATTTCCTGCAGACAATTCAAGTCAGGAAGGCAGCTGACCTTAGCGAAATAGATTTTAGAAGTGCCTGACATCAAATGTAAATGTAATTCCAAAGTTGACTTTTGTTTGCTTTCTACCTATTGTTTGAAAAGATTACATTAGTAGTTTTGATGCATTAACTTAAGTATGCCTTGTCATACCAGAGTTATGGAAACTTAACTGTATTGTGTAAGTCAAGCTTTGCAGACATCCATCAGTAGTTTTACTGTTGAAAATTGAGTTTACCTGGCGATGCATTGCGTAGTAATTATTTCGAGGTAAAATTTTCATTAAACGATTTGATGTCATAGGTAAGTTTCCGTTGTCAAATGTAAACACCGGGTGTTTTCTGGCTTTTTGTCTGCTTCATAACTAATTAAAATTTGATAAAAAGATGATTTCTAGGTGAAAAATGTGATTTTGCTTATTATTGAATAAATTACATGTCAATACATTCCAGAATTCAAAATGTCTGTTTCTCTTAGCTACAGTCACGTAGATAGAGAATTTTACGCAAATTGTCAATCAGAACCAATGATACAAAATAATTTGCATTAAAATTTGTGCTCTTTAAATTGAAAATGGAATTCCATGAGCATTTGTTTGCAGTATATGCATACTTTAAGTGTGTTTAACACTTGTACAATGCTGTAGTGCACCTTGGCCTTTTAGAAAACATAGAAATAAGGGATGTAGTATTCATTGTCAATGAGACAGCTATCCACCAAAGACCAAATTATGTGGATGTAGGCAACTATAGCTCACAGCATGGCTATCAGCAATGAGCAAAACAAATTCCACATAGTATTAAGGATCCATGACAAAATGTGAAACTTTCTAAATCAGAAAACTAAATGCCTAATTTATAATAAAACAATATCACTAGTTTGTTATACAGGCATTAGTGGGAAACAGACTCCATTGATCCTTTGGTTTTATTGTGTTGCCTGACAGAATCCAGCTGCAGCAACACATAGGGTCACTTTGGTCTTCATCAGTGTCACACCTTGTTAATATGCAAATCTTTGAAAACGACTGGACAGAATTATCCAAACCACAGTTAATTTTATACAGGATATAATTTTGTGCACCTGCTATTTAAATTTTTGATCTCAACAAATTTCTGAGTTTCAAATCATTGGCCTTTTCATTTTTGCATGTATTATTCAGAGACAGAAGACAAACACACTTCTTTCTGAAGACTTCCACTTTTTATTTCTAAGGGAGTTCTGTAATGATTAGGTTCACAAAACATCAGTATTATTACTACAGTCCTTTTAACATATTTCTCTTAACAGACATGTGTGGTAGTGCTGTTTCAAACTTTGGTCCTATAACTTATTGCATTGATGACACCAAACCTGATGGAACACACCCAGCTGTCATGGGGTTTGTTTTAGCCAATCAAGCTAGAGAACTGATGCACCTATCAGAATCCAAAAGGTATGATATCACACCCAGCTATCATGGGGTTTGCTTTAGCCAATCAAGCTAGAGAACTGATGCATCATTCCGAATCCAAAAACTGTTGCACCAATCAGAGTCCAAAAGGTATTATATCACACCCAGCTGTCATGGGATTTGTTTTAGCCAATCAAGCTAGAAAACTGATGTACCAATTAGAGTCCAAAAGGTATGATATCACACCCAGTTATCATGGGGTTTGTTTTAGCCAATCAAGCTAGAGAACTGATGCACCAATCAGAGTCCAAAAGGTATTATATCACACCCAAACTGGGGTTTGTTTTAACCAATCAAGCTAGAGAACTGATGTACCAATCAGAGTCCAAAAGGTATGATATCACACCCAGTTATCATGGGGTTTGTTTTAGCCAATCAAGCTAGAGGTCTCAGGTTCACCAATCAGAGTCCAAAAGGTATGATATCACACCCAGTTATCATGGGGATTGTTTTAGGGAATCAAGCAATAGAACTAATAAACCTATCAAGAGACCAAAAGTTAAGTAATCACAACCAGCTATCATGGGATTTTTTTAATCATGAACCTAAGCACTTACTAAAGATATATACTTATTGGTTTTTTAAGCCAATCAAACTGAAGAAAGGTACAATATCGCATCCAATTACTGGTACAACTTACAATAGGTTACAACAAGGGAAACATATCTGTGGTCATCAGTGACATAGATATCCCATACTGGTCAACCAAATCTTAATGGCATTTGAAAAACTTTTTAATATGGAAACTTTGATGCAGAAGCTTTCTAGTAGAAGCAACTGCCTATTTATGAAATTGTGATGATAAATGATCTTTCAAGAATACAAAAGAACATTCTTTGTGTGAATTGAACATAAAACATAAGAAAATGAAAAAAATGTTGATTTGGAGAAAAAAATACATCTTGATAATAAGTCATATTATATTCATACAAGCTCAAATTTGAATGTATTAAAAACATGGATGACTTTTAACACTTTATTAGCCAATTTACTTATTATTCCAAAAAATGCAACAAATTGCAGTTAAATAATTATTCGTTGGATTCCCACTTTTATGGATTTCGTGAGTAAAGGTTAACCACTAAATGTTCTACAAGGTACAAAATTTTCTCTAACCATAAATGCTGGCTTTGGTAAAACCACAAAATCAAATATCCACAATAATACAATTTTCCCTCAATACACGAAAATTGGTATCCATGAAAATAAATGAATCCACAGTGATACTTTTTGGTTGCCATGATGATGCTCACCATCAAATTAAGACATCAGATACTGTGGATTCATTTATTTTTCGTGGATTGAGGGAAATTTGTATTTTCGTGGATATTTGATTTCATGGTTTTGCTGAAGTCTGCATAACAGCCTGTTACAAATTTATACCTTGTTGAACATTTAAATTCATGGTTTACGTTTACCCATGAAATCCACGAAAATTTGGTATCCCACGAATAATAATGAATCCACAGTACAATATTGAACAAAATCATACCACATATTTTGCTACAAGGTGTCTTATTTAAAGAAGTCAATGAAGGTAAAAATATCTCTTTGTTATAGCCTTTGCTCATTACATGTTTTTTCTTAAACTTTGTGTGAAATGGCCATTTTAGGTATATTTGATTTAGAAATGTGTATGAACACTGGTGACATTACAAGTGATATTTCTGTACTAAAGTCTCCAGATAATTTCGTCCCATTCATTTATCATTAACCATATTAATTTGGGAAGCTTGAAGAATTTTAGTATTTTAAAAAAAGTTTGGGGCTTCTAATTGGCCCCATGTCAAAAGTGAATGATTTTGTTCCCAAAAATAGTGACTCTTGTAGAACCTCCTTTCTTGCAGGATTTTACAATATGATCTTCCAACCACAAATATATGTATAGATTAATAAATTTAATGGTGTATGATGAGTCTTTTTTCCTTGGCAACCAAAATGTATAAACTCCTTTCATGAAGAGTATGAATTTCTGCACAGGTGACCCATTTCTTTAAATTAAAGGTTTTTAATCACTGAAATGTGATTTAATTTTAAATTGATTATTTGTAGAAAGGATGCAATTTGTCAACATTATGCACAAGCATTTAAATGTGAGCAGTTTCTTAAGGTAAAATTTTATCTAGTTATAGAACTTTGCTTGATTAATTTAAACATTTTATTGTCAAAATTATATAAAATGATTGAATACAAATAAAAAACAAACAAAATATTAGTCTCACTAGAACAAAACTAATGCATTGCTTTTTTCCTATCGATTTTTATCAGTTAAAATATCAGGTCATTGTTATGTATTATTGTCTGGTAAAAAATTTGCTGACTAACAGGTTTTTTGAAATAAAGAATTATTAAAAAACAAAATAGTTGATCCAATTACATTACTTACTTTAAAAAACGCATCTTTACAGATAAAAAGAACATGTATAGCTACAACACTATTGGTCTTGTCAATGGATTGACTCAATCTTTACAGATAAAAAGAACATGTATAGCTACAACACTATTGGTCTTGTCAATTGATTGACTCAATCTTTACAGATAAAAAGAACATGTATAGCTACAACACTATTGGTCTTGTCAATTGATTGACTCAATCTTTACAGATAAAAAGAACATGTATAGCTACAACACTATTGGTCTTGTCAATTGATTGACTCAATCTTTACAGATAAAAAGAACATGTATAGCTACAACACTATTGGTCTTGTCAATTGATTGACTCAATCTTTACAGATAAAAAGAACATGTATAGCTACAACACTATTGGTCTTGTCAATTGATTGACTCAATCTTTACAGATAAAAAGAACATGTATAGCTACAACACTATTGGTCTTGTCAATTGATTAATTCATTTTTGTCGAGCCTTCGACTTTAGTCGAAAAAGCGAGACATAGCGATCCTACATTCCGTCGGCGTCGTCGTCGGCGGCGTCCACAAATATTCACTCTGTGGTTAAAGTTTTTAAAATTTTAATAACTTTCTTAAACTATCCTGGATTTCTACCAAACTTGGACAGAAGCTTGTTTATGATCATAAGATAGTATCCAGAAGTAAATTTTGTAAAAATAAAATTCCATTTTTTCCGTATTTTACTTATAAATGGACTTAGTTTTTCTGCCGGGAAATATTACATTCACTCTGTGGTTAAAGTTTTTAAAATTTTAATAACTTTCTTAAACTATCCTGGGTTTCTACCAAACTTGGACAGAAGCTTGTTTATGATCATAAGATAGTATCCAGAAGTAAATTTTGTAAAAAAAAAAATCCATTTTTTCCTTATTTTACTTTTAAATGGACTTAGATTTTCTGCCAGGAAACAACACATTCACTCTGTGGTTAAAGTTTTTAAAATTTTAATAACTTTCTTATACTATTTTGGATTTGTACCAAACTTGGACAGAAGCTTGTTTATGATCAAAAGCTAGTATCTAGAAGGAAATTTTGTAAAAAAATAAATCCATTTTTTCAGTATTTTACTTTTAAATGGACTTAGATTTTCTGCCAGGAAACAACACATTCACTCTGTGGTTAAAGTTTTTAAAATTTTAATAACTTTCTTATACTATTTTGGATTTGTACCAAACTTGGACAGAAGCTTGTTTATGGTCAAATGCTAGTATCTAGAAGGAAATTTTTTTTTTCTTCCAGTTAACATTACATTCAGTCTGCAGTTAAAGTTTTTAAACATTTATTAGATTCATAAACTATCCTGGATTTTTACCAAACTTGAACAGAAGCTTCTTACAATCAAAAGATAGTATCAAGAGGAATATTTTTATTGATTTACTTCCTCATTTTTGTTGAGCCTGCGATTAACAGAAAAAGTAGGCGAGACACTGGGTTCCGCGGAACCCTTACAAATTTTTTAGATAAAAAGAACATATGAGCTGCATTAGATAGTAATCAACCTTATGCAAATTAATACAAATACATGTAGTACGCTATTTTTGATGGAGAAATGTGCATGCAAATGCTTGAAGCGTTTCTAAATTTGGATATTTTGTAAGAATCTTAGAATTCAGACCAACACTGACCTTAAATGTCAGAATTTTACTTCCCAATCAATCACTGTGTAACGCATGTATATGCAGTCTGGGATGTGGTTCGATAAAATTGCTTCGCTTGTTTATTTCGCTCTCCGGTCAAATCATGTCATTTCGCTGCCTCCAATGGTAGACGTGACAACGATGGGTGTCGTCAGGATAGTTACGATTAAAGGAATCAGTTAGGAACTAGACGATCCCCTTTAGTATAGGTGAGTTGTATTATAGTTGTTGCTTGAGGATAAATGTATGTTGTAGAATAATTCATAATCAGGAATAGCTTGAACTGAACGAAACATGTTGCTACGGTGACCAGGAAACCGAAGGTAGAAAATTTTTAAAAAATCTAGAGACGATCGTTCTGAGTGCCATCTACACATTCAAACATGTACACAACCACAGTATCCACTATCTAATGTGTTTTCATAATTATGTGATATAGGGCAAAAAACGGTAGCAGTTTTTTTGTCATGTTGTTAAGCATTTTCAGGGGAGATAATGTTATTTTTACGGGTGTGTTTGATTACGTTTGTTACACTGTAACATTATATAATACATGCTCATAAAGTCGCTAAAAAGCGCTCATCACACAAATGAACTCAATGTTAATTATTCTATTTACCGGGTTATTGGTTCTTTATCCTAACTTAATGTTTTGTGGTGTATATTACAAAAAGGGGGGGTGCTTTAAAAACACTGAAATACCTTAATAATCCTACAATACCTGCAATTGTTTAACAGAACAAGAGAGATATATCGTATTATAAACCTATTTTTTCTTACATATTCGTTAGATATTTAGAAAATATAGTCAAATGTTAAGTATGAATATCCATCCCCCTTTTTAGCTCACCTGGCCCAAAGGGCCAAGTGAGCTTTTCTCATCACTTGGCGTCCGTCGTCCGTCGTCCGTAAACTTTTACAAAAATCTTCTCCTCTGAAACTACTGGGCCAAATTTGACCAAACTTGGCCACAATCATCATTGGGGTATCTTGTTTAAAAAATGTGTCCGGTGACCCGGCCAACCAACCAAGATGGCCGCCATGGCTAAAAATAGAACATAGGGGTAAAATGTAGATTTTGGCTTATATCTCTGAAACCAAATCATTTAGAGCAAATCTGACATGGGGTAAAATTGTTTATCAGGTCAAGATCTATCTGCCCTGAAATTTTGAGATGAATCTGACATCTCGTTGTTGTGTTGCTGCCCCTGAATTGGTAATTTTAAGGAAATTTTGCCGTTTTTGGTTATTATCTTGAATATTATTATAGATAGAGATAAACTGTAAACAGCAATAATGTTCAGCAAAGTAAGATCTACAAATAAGTCAACTTGACCAAAATGGTCAGTTGACCCCTTAAGGAGTTATTGCCCTTTATAGTCAATTTTTAACCATTTTTCGTTAATTTTTGTTATCTTTTACAAAAATCTTCTCCTCTGAATCTACTAAGACAAATTTAACCAAACTTGTCCACAATCATCATTAGGGTATCTAGTTTAAAAAATGTGTCCGATGACCCCGCCCGCGAACCAAGATGGCCGACATGGCTAAAAAATAGAACATAGGGTAAAATGCAGTTTTTGGCTCATATCTCTGAAACCAAAGCATTTAGAGCAAATCTTACAAGGATAAAATTGTTCATTAGGTCAAGATCTATCTGCCCTGAAATTTTCAGACCAATCAGGCAACATGTTGTTGGGTTGCTGCCCCTGAATTGGTAATTTTAAGAAAATTTTGCAGCTTTTGGTTATTATCTTGAATATTATTATAGATAGAGATAAACTGTGAACAGCAATAATGTTCAGCAAAGTAAGATCTACAAATAAGTCAAACATGACCAAAATTGTCAATTGACCCTTTTAAGGAGTTATTGCCCTTTATAGTCAATTTTTTACAATTTTCATAAATTTTGTAAACTTTTGTAAATTTTTACAAAATAATTTCCACTGTAACTACTGGGCCAAGTTCATTATAGATTGAGATAATTGTAAGCAGCAAGAATGTTCAGTAAAGTAAGATCTACAAACACATCACCATCACCAAAACACAATTTTGTCATGAATCCATCTGTGTCCTTTGTTTAATATGCACATAGACCAAGGTGAGCGACACAGGCTCTTTAGAGCCTCTAGTTTCAATTCATTATTTAAAAAGACAGCTCTAAAGAATATGCAATAACCTAACATTGATAATTTAGCTAACAATGAATCCAGTACATTTTCCCAACAAGTAAAGACCAATGAAAACATTTGATATTATTTGAAAAACTTGGACAATTAAGTAAGATCTGTGGTTTCATAGATATTAATGATATATATTTATCTTTAATTCATATATATATCATGACATATATATATCTCGTGATGCATCTGATTTATAAATCCAGTGGCAGATCCGGAGTAAAGTGCTGTGTTCAGACCCGTTTGTATGGGGAACATGTGGTTGGAACCCCCTCTTTAATTGCTTGTTTAATTTTTTTTTTTGCAGTAATGCTCGAAAAGGAAGAAAGACAGTAATTTTATCATGATGTTATGCAGATGGTTTCCGACAGATTCCTTAACATCACGGTTTATAAGAGACTCATGAGCCTCGTTTAGTGCAAGATGCTGACATGCCTTACCTGTTACGCTGGCTGAAAAGTCCCCATTTTGAAAGCACGTTAAAATATTGTGTGGAAGTTCTACTATATCTGATAGTCAGATGTCTTGGAATTATTCTCAAGTACATGTGCTGATCAAACGCATGGAACAGAGGGGAGATGCTTTTAAGTGGTGCTAATCTGAGATTCCAATTTGAACTATGGAAGAAACAATATATATGAATAAAATTATCCCACAATAGGAACTGTCTTTTTTTTCTTCATGCAGAATTTGTCAAACATATCCATAACAGAACAGTCTCCTTCATACATTTGTAATACTGATAATATTTTCAGATGCATGCACAGTTGTTTTTCTTCTGCTTCACATATTTATTAATTTCTAACACAAGCTTTAATGTGATTTAATTGCTGAGATGATATAGCAGTGCCATTGGTTTCCCCTCTCTCTTTGTTCCAAGAA